CAAATAAAAATTTAAAAATTGCAAAATACAATTTCTGAAATTAAGCATTTATATATCAGATTGATAGCACATTAGACATAGTTCAAGAAAAATCAGTGAACTGGAAACTAAGCCAGAAAAAAAATACTCAGAACAAAACACAAAGAGATGAAAAGATAGAAAAATAGAGAAAAAATAGTAGGAGACCTGTAGGGATACAGCCTAACGTCATGTACGTGGTGTCTTACAGCCAGAGGGGAAAGCTAATAGAACACACAACATTTAAAGAAGTAATGAGTAAGAATTTTTCAAAACTGATGAATGATATCATTAAAATAGATTCAAGAAGCCACACAAGCCCAAGAAATACAAATTCAAAGCAATCCCTACTTAGATACATCATAGGAATATTATAAAATCAAGTACAAATGGAAATGCTTTTTATATTGATTGTATTAGTGACATGCATGTCAAAACTGATCAAATTACATACTTCAAATATGTGCATTTTATTGTACTTCAATTTTACCTCAATAAAGCTATGGGGAAAAATGCAGATACAATAACATTATGGTAGAAATTTAAAAATATCAAATACAATCAACCATAAGGAAACAGAGATGATAATCTTCAAAGGAAACAAAATTAGGAAAACCTTTAAAGAACGATTACCAGAAGACTCACAATCCAAAAATGCCAAAAGGATTTCTTCATACTGAAGGAAAATTAACATAGTGTTGAGAGCCACAGCCAAAGGGGCCCCAGCAAACTTCCAGCTGCCAGCAAATTTCCAGCTGCCAGCTGATGATTGGCTCACAGCGGCCCCAGCAACATCTAGCTGATTGGCTCCTCTGCGGTGATGCTCATTGGGCTGTTTCCCCACCCTTTCAGACCACGGAGCTATTCATTGGGGGACTTTTTTGGGCTCTGCCCATGCAACCCAGCCAATCAGCCTCAAGAGCAGGAGGAGTGGGGGAGGTTGAGAGGCTTGTCGGAAGCCGGTGGTGGCAGTTGGGCTCTGAAGGTTTTTCCTGAGGAGCTGTGTGGTTTGGTGTGTGTTCTAAAAATAAAGTTCATTTCTTTTGACAAGTGTCTCCTGAATTGTGCCCAGCCAGACTGCGGGTGCAATAATGAGGGAACACACAAGAAAGAGCTCATATGTGGGTATTTAGAGTTTTAATTTAGGATCTTACAGAAGTAGAGCACCCTTTCAGTGATTAAGATTGACACAAGTTGTAAATAAAGATTTTATTACTTATAGGCCTTTGGGGTGCATGGTATAGCCCAAGGTTACACAGAGATAAGTTTTTATGATGAGAGGGGGAGACCTGTGGATCAAAATCTACCGAGATCCAAGGTGTGACCCAAGCAAGTTTCTCATGAAGGGTTCTTAATTAGTGGGCTTAATTAGCAGGCCCAAATTCTAGGAGGTCATACTAAGAATGAACCTTCATGATCATGATAATGTGACATTGTAGTATTCAAGGAATACCCTATATGAATCAAATGTATGATATGTCAGGATCATTGTATTGTTTTGAGCAACTAATTTAAAAAAAGCAATAACAAGAAAAAAAAAGAAATGGTATTAGGTCAATGGCTGATCCACTTGGAAAAACAAACAAAACCCCAAATCTTGGCCATGCTACACATTATCCATATATAAAAATAAAAATAAAATTGAGCTGAATCCCAGTCTTAAACATGAAAAACCCAAGCTTCTAGAGTATAACAAGGGAAAAAATATCTTTATAACAGGTAAAGGTTTTTAGAGGACAGCAGAAAAAGGCAGTCACTAGAAAAGAAAAATTCATAAACTGAACACTATTGAAATGTAGAACTTCCATCATTAAAAATCAATAAGAAAGTAAAAAGAAAAGCCATAATCTAAAAGAAAATTTCTGTTACATTTATTGGGAGATATGAGAATACACAAAGAGCTTCTACAAAATAAAAAAAAAAAGATGAACTAATCAATAGTAGGCACAAGGTTTGAATAAGCACTTCATAAGCATATGAAAAGATGTTCAGCATTGTAAGTCATTAGGAAAATGCAGATTATTTTGAGCCATTTGAGTAGATGTATCATATTCTCCACCTAAATAGTAATCAAATTGATTGGACTACAGAGTTCTCCAACACTGGCCAATTGACCACAGCATGTTTTTGGTCTGTGTAAACAGAGAGCTGGGTCTAGTGAATAGAAGTGTGGCTTGAATCATTGCAAATGAGAGTTGTAGCTGGGTGTGGCAGTGCATGCACGCCAGCAATCCCAGTGGCTGGGGAGGCTAAGGCAGGAGGATCATGAATTTCAAAGCCAGCCTCAGTAAAAGCCAGATGCTAAGCAGCTCAGTGAGACTCTGTCTGTAATTAAAACATAAAATGGGCTGAGGATGTGGCTCATTGGTCAAGCGCTCCGAGTTCAGTCCCAGTACCCACCCCTGCAAAAAAAGAGAGAGTCATAGTTCATTAAGCAAACCCCAGACTTGAGCTAGTTCACAGTCTAGAGCAGTTCTAATGAATGGGAGACTGGATCTGCTCCAAGACGCACATTACTACATGCATAACCAAAACTTCAATATTAAGTCTCTTTCTAGCTTTCTCTAGGGGGACTTGAAGCTGGTTTTTTTGGAGTTCAGTTATTAGAGAATAAATTTAAAAATATAGATATAAGTATATATTTTTATCTTTTAATGAGATCTTACCATACATGTGGTCTGTCTTCTGATTCTTTTTCATATGAAATATACATCTTTGTACATCAAGGGCTTCTCTGTGAGAGGTATATTTTTTATGGTTGTATAACACTCCAGTGTATGGATATTCATTCTGTATCTGCATGGCTATTTTATGTTTCTCAGGAAATTCTTTATAGTCATTTTTAACATATCATTTTCCTTGCAGTACATTATTTCTAAACCATGATTTGAAACATGCCATGCATTTGGGTTACTATAACATTTTTACTAAATTTAACATTTATTATAAAGAATGCTGTAATCAGAAGTCTATAGTGAACTCCTTGAGAAAAATCTATTATATCATAAGTATAAATCCCACTTAGAGGTGTATAGGGCATCATGCATTTCAAGAAGTTTTGTTGAATCCTCAGTCCATGAGAATGCAGGTCCACTGTAGCTTCACTAGCCTTGAAGAACAAATATTTTAAGGTCTCTACTAATTTTCCAAGCAGAATGATTACTATATTGGAGACTGTGAACCAGTATAATTACAAATTAATTGAATAAAAAATATGATTAGAAGTTTTTTGTTTTTTTAATGCCTTGAAGACCCCAATTTAGAAAAGGCACTTCTCAGGTTAAGGGATCATTTAAGGAAGAAGTTGCCAAGAATCCCATAGGAGAATCTGACAGCATTACAGTGTCTTCAGTCCTCTCTAGGACAGAATGAACAAAGGGCAGTTGTTGAAGACTTTAATAATTCCTTGCAGGACTCAAATGTAGTCCAGCAGAAAAGCACTTACCTAACATGTGGGGGGACCTGGGCTCCATTCTGCACCACAGTAAATAAAAATGACAATTCCAGAGGAATATAATTGTAAAAGTGATAGAAAGGAATATCTCAACTCACTTTCACAAATAGGTGCTTCTTCATCCCAAACAACAGTAGTGTCTGAGATCACGCATTGAGCACTGGGGGCGCCAATGAGTCGGTACCTAGAAGCAGAGAATAAGGAATGTTACTTATTAAAAACAGAGGAAATCTATCTGCTTCAATTGCTCCTTCCCAGAGGTTACAATCTTGAAACTTCAGGACATTTTCAGGAAATAGAGAAATTTATTTAACTTGAAAGTTTTAATGCTATAACTGTATTTCTTCCTTCCTTTCTTTCTTTTTAAATACCATAACATCAACATTTTTGTTTTATTCTACAAATAAAAATAGTACGTTTTTTTTAATAAATAACACATGTTGATATATTTCTACGTTGAGAAGTGATTAAATCAAGCTCGTTAATATTTCTGTAATCTCATATATCTACCATGTTTTTTTATGAGAACATTTAAGACCTTTTCTCTTTTGAGTTTTCCAGTATACATTGTTATTGACTGTAATCACCATGCTGTATGACAGATTGCCATAATTTATTCAACCAAACTGAAACTTTGTACCCTTCGATCAGCCTCTCCCTGTTCTCTTTCCTTCCAAGGCCCTGGCAACCTGCTCTGCTCTGCTATTGCAAGTTCAATGCCTTTACATTTTACACGTAAGATCACATGGTATTGGCTCTTTTCATGCTGTTTTGATGGTTATGGCTTTGTAGTATATTTTGAAATCAGCTATGGAGTCCCAGCTTTGATTTTTTGTGTGTAAGACTGGTTTGTCTATTTGTGTTTTTCTGTTTGTTTGTCGTTGTATTTCCATATGAATATTAGGATTGTTTTTCTGTTACTTGGGAAAATGTCATTGGAATTTTGAGAGGCATTGAGTTGAATTTGTATGGAAATTTTAACAAAATTAATTACTCTAATCCATGAATACAATATACCTTTCCATACATTTTTTGTCTTCTTCAAATTTTTCATCAGTGTTTATAGTTTTCAGTGTACAGATCCTTCACCCTCTTGATTAAATTTATTTGTAAGTATTTCATTGTATTTTTGGTGCTCTTGTAAATGGCATGATTTCCTTGGTTTCATTTTTTTGATATTTCATTGTTAGTGTACAGAAATGCTACTTTTTTTGTATGTTGACTTTGTACCCTGCAACTTTACTGAATTTATTAGTTCTGATAGTTTTTCAGTGAAGTCTTTAGGATTCTGTCTATATAAAAGTGTAATCTGCACAAAGAGAAAATTTTGCTTCTTTCTTTCCAATTTTGGATGTCTTTTAATTGCTCTTGCTATAGTATATTAAATAAAAGTGGTGAGACTGGACAAACTTTGTGTTCCTGATCTTAGAAAAAAACCCCAAAAAACCGTTCAGCTTTTCACTACAGAGTATGATATTAGCTGTGGGCTCGGCTATATGTAGCCTTCTTCTATACCTAATTTGTTGAGGGTTTTTGCTATGAGGAGATACTAAATTTAGTCTGATGCTTTTTCTGCATCTGCTGAAATGATCATATTATTCAAACCCTTAATTCTGCTAATGTGGTATATCACATTTGTTGATTTATGCATGTCAAATCATCCTTGCATTTCAGAGATAAATCCCACTTGATCATGAAGTATGATACTTTTTATGTCCTGTTGAATTGTGTTTGTTAGTATTTTGTAGAGAATTTTTGCATTGATATTCATCAGGGAAAGTGACCTGTAATTTCTTCTTGTTGTTAAGTAGTAGTGTCCTTGTCTGGGTTTGGTATTAAGGTAATGTTAGCCTCATAAAATGAGTTTGAAAATTTCCGTCATCTCCAATTTTTTGGACAAATTTGAAAAGTGCTGTTGTTAATCCCTTCTTTAAATGTTTGGCAGAATTCACCAGGAAAGCCATCAGATTCTGAGCTTTTATTGGTTGGGAATTTTAATTACTAATTCAAACACCATACTTGTTATTGGTATGTCCACATTTTCTATTTCTTCATGATTCAGCTTTGATAAGAAAATGGATTTATCCACTTTTTTTCTGGGTTCTCCAATTTGTTGGCATGTACTTATTAAGAGTAGTCTCATATGATCTGTTGTAGTTTTGTGAAATTAGTAGTATGTTCTATATTTCATTTAAAATTTTATTTGGGTATTTTTTTTCTTAGTCCAATAATATTTTTTGGTTTATCTTTTAAAAATCAATTCTTAGTTTCTTTGTTCTTTTCTGTTTTGTATGCCCCTGTTTCATTTCTTCTGCTCTTCCTTATATCTGCTGACTTTGTTCATTTTTCTAGTTTCTTGAGGTATATAGATGGTTGATTTTCTTTTCTTTCAGTTCCAGCAATCAAACCTAGGGTCTTATGTATGCTAAGAAAGTGCTCTACCAGTGAGCTACATCCCAAGTCCATCTTTCTTTCTTTCTTTCTTTCTTTCTTTCTTTCTTTCTTTCTTTCTTTCTTTCTTTCTTTCTTTCTTTCTTTCTCTCTCTCTCTCTCTCTCTCT